AATGAACTTTCTGAATGAGCGAACTGGTATCCAGAGGCTTTGTGAAACTACCCTGGTGAAATGCCATTGGTGTCTCTACCATTCTCCTAGCCACACGCACGCACACGCACACTTCACTCTTTGTGGAAAGTGGACATGAAATCTTCCCAGCCAGGTGTGGCAGGGGGAGTGAGGGAAAACTGAGGCAGCGACTATACTAAGAACTGTAGTTGTTTCTGGGAGTCCCCCCACTTAGCCCAGATCTGCCCCTGAACCCAGAAAGCAAATCCTCATAAGAAGTGAAAGGCCACGGAACCTGTGACAAGAGGACAGGCAAAGAACACAAGAGACTGCCATCAAGATACAGGAATTGCGTTATTGCAAACATCCTGGCCAAATCCACTGGTACTAACCTCTGGCCATTTTTATCACAGATGCCAAGGGTCTGCCTGGGCAAGGAGACAGACTACAACCCACAGTACATCTGGAATCTTAATGATTTTAAGACATGGACAAGACTAAACATCAAGTTCACATCCAGGAATAAGGGGCCAATATGGGGCCAGGACACTCTGCAGTTTCTACCCTTCCCTCCTTGACTCCAGAAAGCACGCCGGCCCCGGAGGAGGGTCCTTGGGGCCTTCCCGAGTCATGGCAGGTGAGTGCTAAGACCAAGCAGAAAGGATATGCTTTGGTAAAGCTCAGATGGGAACTTGCAAAAGCCTGAGGACAAGAGGCAAAGCAACACCCACTGCAAAGTCTCCACCGCTCAGCTGTGTAAACAAATAAAATGGTCCATTTCTTCTGGAGCCTCTCCTGGTTGTCTTTGCGCACACACACAAGCGTGTGCCTGCATGCACGCGCGCGAACACACACATACACACACACACACACCACTTCACATCTTAAAAGAAAAACAACCATGAAAGGTCTACACAGTTTGTTTTTGTTGTGTGTGAAGTTATTTTTTCCTAAATCACATCTGACTTGGTGTTAAAACATCAACCTTTGGCCAAAATACTCTTAAAACAAAGGCTTAATTGGTTCTGAAGTAGCCCTTCTGAAAACCAAGGGAAATCTCTTCTGTGGGTCTTGACCTTGATTACAACACTGCTCTTCGGGCTGGAATAATGATGAGTGGAGGAGTCTCGGAAGAGAGGTCTTCAGGGAGGCAACAGGGATGCCTAAACACTCATCCACATTCTCTGGGAGGCACCTGCAGTGTATGGGTCCACCTCTGCATTCAGCCTGCAAAATCTTCCCAGGTTAATGGAGACAGTGGGAGGAGTTCCTAGGAACTGGGGCCAAAAGCCAAGTGGCTGTGTGAAGGCAAACTGGCCTCTGACCACACCTAGCTCACTTTACTGCTCTCCTCTTCTGTATCACCCACATACCTACAACCACTCAGCCAAGGCACTTCAGTGACGACACCTGAAATCCAGCATTCAAACCTCTCTCAAAAAATCGATGCAAAGCTAAACACACGCTACCCCATGCCTCCCCAAGGCCACTCTTGGATATGAAGAACAGAAACGGACACACATATTCCTCCGAAAGATGAGGCTGAGAATGTTACCAGGACCTTATTCATAAAAGCAGAAAATTGGAGACAATCCAAAAATCCAATAACACAGAAAGGATGTGTGCATTGTGTCATACTCCTAGTTGAATACTAATGGCAATTAAAAAAAAAAAAGAGTAGACTATTGCTACATACAATAACAGGAATATAACTCAGACATAATGCTGAGTGGGGCCAGACATGAGACAATCCATTCTGCACAATCCCCCTTCAGTGAAGCTAAAAAACAGGTACAACTAATCCACGGCAATAGATAAAGCTATTCCGTGGTGAGATTTGGGAGTGGGGGGGGGTGGCAGATGACTGGGAAGGGAGGGAAACAAGCGAGACTTCTGGGAGGTTGGTAATATTCTCGCAGGGGCCAGCAAACTACAGTCTGTGGGCCAAATCCAGCCACTGTCTGATTTTATAAATAAAGTTTTATTGGGACAAGGCCACATCTATTCCTTTAGGTATTATTTTTAGTTGTTTTTGCACCACAATGGCCAGAGTCGAGTAGCTGCCATAGAGACCATATGGCCTGCAAAGCCTCAAATATTTACTATCTGGCCCTATACAAAAAAACTGTTCCAACTCCACTCAATATATTGGCCGGGGTGATGGTTTCATGCATGTTCACGCATGTAAAAGTTCATCCATCTCTCCACCAAAGATCTATGTACTGTGCTATACTTACATTACACTTCAATAAAACTTTTTAAAAGTCAGTAGAGCTAAATAACTATGTCTTTTTGTTGTTTTTAAGGCCTGTTAATTGTCATTCCAGTTAGATTTGTGTTAACCACTTAGGGAGAATATAGCCATTTGTACTACTCTTGTCTTTCCGAAGTTGAGAGGAGTTAGGAGATTGTCAAAAAGCGGGGAAGATCCCAAAACAGCAATTGACATTGTGTCCAAACTTTTCCCAAGAACGAGACGTGGCTACAGAATCACTCGGAGGCCATTCACATAAACGGTGAACTTGGCCAAGGCCTGAGATTGCAGGGGATGGGAAAGGAAAGGGGTGTGGACCTCATGTGACGCAAGGTGTCATACTCCTCAAGGTTATTTTAGGATACAGCTTAGGAGAGCAACACGCTCAGCTCATATTGAAATACGGTATTTATTAGGCTGAATCAGTTTTAAGTTTCCAGGGAAAGAAAATTCTGCCCCAACAATCACACCGCATGCAAGCCTTACACTGGAGAATGACGCAAAGGGAAAACGTCAGCTGTACTCAACCCCAAAGCAGTACCATCCTCATCTCTATACCCCCACCCTGCAGTCGGGCTGCCGCATGCATAGGGAATAATTTTGTGTCTGAGATTTCCCCTTTTCTCCCTTTGCTTCTTCTGGTTTCTGCCATTTATCCTTTGATGATCAAACTACAATTACAGCTAGATGCCATTTGGCTTGGCCTCCTCCCGGTCCAGCAGAGATTGGGAGGGGGCAGAATGAACTCTGAGAGCATGCCGGTGCTGGGTCTCTAACAGAATGTCTCTCTGTTTGCCCACATGGGCATCAAGCCTTAGCAAACAGAAGCAGGGGAGAACAATACTACCTGTTCATGGAGGGATAGTAATGGTTTCAGTCCTCCAAACAATGAGGTCTGTAATTTACTCCATCTTCCTCCTGAGAAAGAGCTTCACATGGCCTGCACCGTGCCAGGTGGTTTGGAGAAAGACGACCTGCTCGGTCTAACAAGGGACACTTCAGCAGCGGGTGTAAAGACACAACAGCTGCTCTCGTCTCGGCTGGTCTCCCAGTGACATGGCCCCAGCCAGCCCTGCCACACCAAGACAGGGATCACTATGCTATTCAACCTTTAACAATTCCCACACCGCGGGCAACAGGATCTTCCAGCGCTCCACGAGAGTGGTAGGCCTCAGGACACTTGTCTGTGCATCCCTCCATTCATCAAGACTTAGGGTTTGGGCTTGCTCCCCATCCAAGCCCTGAGTCTAAACCAGTTTCCAGCAGCAAGACTCACTACGCTGCTAATCAAAAGGAAGAAGGGTCCACTAGGAAATGTGCCAGCTAGAACAACTGCACAGCACGTTCAAGACATCAGGCTGGAAAATAGCTGGGGGTAGAGGGGTAAAAATCAAGATCCCACCTTCCCCCTCAAAGACACAGAGAGATCAGCAGCACAATGCAGACAGAAACAAAGTATTTCAACAACAAGTTACTGTTGCCTTGAAATAAGTACAAAAATACTAGGGATCCAAGATACAAAAAATGTCTGCTGAGTCAGACTTTTCACGGGGGGGGGGGGGGGGGTGGTATTCACAGTTTAGCTGGGGCACGTGGCTGCCTGAACGTCTTATCCAGGAAGATGCAGATTTGAAACAGGAGAGCCACCAAGATGCGACATGGCTCTAGTCTGGTGAGACCCCCCCCCCACACACACACACACGTTACCTGCCAGGGTAACTACAAGATAGGGTGCAATGGAACAACAGAAATTAGTCAACCAACTGACATCAACTTCCAAGAAGAGAAGACCTAGAGCCAGACTTCAACATCACAGCAACAGGTTTCAAAAGCCTCTCTTCAAAGGGTTAAACCAGAACCCTCAAGAAGTTTTGGTACCGTGAGTTACACCATGTGTAACATCCATCCTGGCAAAGCCAGGCAAGGCAGACAGACGAAAATTGTATTAGTCTGCTCTCCCTCGACTACTGCATTCTGTTGGCATCGGTTCAGCTCGGAGTCTATATTAGTCCGTGATTTGTTTAGCCTTTGGATTTAAGAGAATGGAAGTACTACGTGAGCAGGAAACAGGACACTCATCAGAAGCTGGGATCTGTCACCTCTCCCTTCCAGCACTTTTAATGACATATATCAACAGGTCCAAGAGAAATCAACATTTCAGGACTATCAGGTCAAAAGCGATATTCTTAGCACCACTTAACATGATTTGGATCGACCAGAAACAACTCGCTGGCTGTCACACAGCCTCCTCCACCTCTCCACCGCACCGCCCCCCCACCTGCCCAATGCTTCCAGTTCACAGTTGGCCACCTCCTCTTACACCCAACTAAAGATTCTTCCCTAAGCCAAAAACAAGAGCCAAGCTGGGGTCTGGGTGCCCATTACGCCTGACCAAGAAACTTAACAAAAAACAAAGGCTTGTCTTTCTTTCCATCATCTTTAAATCATTTTGGCAGCACTTCTGTTCATTTCTTTGCTTCCCACCTCCCCCAGTGAATCAACCACCACCAGCACCATCACCACCATCACCATCGTCATCACCAACATCACCACCATCATCACCACCATCATCCCCATCACCACCATCAATCCCCACCATCATCATCACCACCATCATCCCCATCACCACCATCATCCCCATCACCATCGTCATCATCATCTAGATTGGGGGAAGGGGCAGAGAATAAAAGACACAAGAGACCTACATATTGACAATTCAAGCTTCAGGATCTCTTGCATTTCCTACCTGAATTGCAATCTGGTGTTCAATCGTTTTGTACGCAGAGTAATGTGTGCTCCCGGACTGAAAATGGAGCTGTAGAAAGAAACCAAATCAAAGCGTTCTGCTTATGTCACAAACTACAAGAAAACATCTTAAGCAGTTTATGAATAGCAGACAAACCTTCCTAGATTGAACTGCAGTCTTGGCATTCAATCAAGACCTGTGTATTTTTATTTGTTGCTATGGATAAGATGACCATAATAATCAAAGGTAAAGTTTAAAAAAAAAAAAAGCACCTATTCAATAAGCAAAAAGGGAGGGGGAGGGGGCCAGGAGTGAGAATCAATGACATGAAAAGGAAAGACGGATGCCCATTAAAACATAAAGGAAGCCAGTGTGCTGAGCGGGATGCTGCGGAAAAATTAACTGTGGGCTGCAAACAGTCATCAGAATTGCGACATGGAGGCAAGAGGAAAGGTTGTGAGAAAGGATTCTGAGAAGCCACAAGACTGCAACAGGTACAAGCTCTCCACCATTCTAACAACTGGGCTCTTGCTCCCAAACACAGTTCTATTTTGGGGAAAACATATGTGGCAGGCAGAATTCAGGGGCCCCCCCAAAGCCTTATACATTCTTTTGCAATGACTAAGCTATCTGTCCCAGAACATCTTGCCTGCACTCTAGGAATCCACACTTCCCCAAAGAGGGAGCCAACCACGGCCAAAAGGCCACCGAGTGTTCTCAGGACCACCTATTCGGTGGCCCCTGGCTAAATGCTCGCCCCTGGCTCCCTCCAACTTTCCACAACAGAGGGTTAAGTGCCTCCTGGGCCTTTTGCTCTGAAGCCCTACAGAGCCCCCTTCAGAGAAGTGGGCAGAATACTGAGATTCTTCACCAAGTTCTCCTTTTCCCAAAAAATACTTGTTAATCTTGGGATCCTCCAGATGGGGAAAACAAACACCATCTGCTGGTTTATCTTATAAACAATACACCAATCACTAAAGGATCTCAACAGCATCTGAAAATGCATTTCAATTTGCAATACATGAACAAATGAGGAGGAATTAGATGGTCCTGGGAAATCCGTGCCCATTCCCCTCACACAACAGGCATCAGTGATGATTCCAAACCACTGCTATTCCTGCTCCTGTCCTACTGCAGTGGCCGGAACACTTCTCTCTTATTATAACAAAATGTAAGCTAGCTTGCAAGCGGGCTTCAGATCCAATTATTTTGGATCTTGGTCCTTGCATGAAAAATCATTCAGTCCACACAGGTTTTGAAAAAAAAAAAAAAAGACAAAAAGAAAAGAGAAAAAAAAGAAATTCACAGAAGAACTTTTGAACCAACTCAAAATAAACACAACACAGAAGTAGTCAAATTAAAAAAGTCTAAATTTTTATTGCTCATGGGAAAGGCTCTAAGTCCCCACTTTAGCATACAATGGGCTCTTATATCATTTTATCTACTCCAAATAAACAATCAAAACACTGCCTATATAGGAGTCTGCTTGCCCCCAAAACATATTAATCAAGTTTGAAAGGGGGCACAATACAGATGAGGCCAAAAAATACATTTTTTTTCCTTTACCTGTCAAAGCAGAATGATTGAACCACACTCCCTAAAACAACACAAGATGTACCCTGAGCAAGTGAAGGTAACGCCCCACCCCCTCCAAACCCCCCCCCCCCCCACTCAGAAACAGTTCGTCCAAGTGAATCAGGGAAAAAGAAAGATGAATTTGCACCCTTTGCCCCCCTGTCCTTTCTGTGAAAACTGCCAGTCAGGAAACAGCAATTGCACTAACTTGTGACAATTCCACATCATCTTAAAACAACTTTTGTGCTAGGGACAGGTTCCTCTGCGAGTTTGGAATTCTTGGCTGGAGAGGAGCTCTTGGGCGGGGGTGGGGGGGAGTTCTCCTTCTAGGTCGAGAGGCAACAGTAACAACGTGTCCCCCTTTTCACCAGGGTTTTATTCTCCTCTTTTCCAACTGCCCGATTCAGAGCTTAATGGAAACTTGTCCAAGCTTTTCTTCCCACAAACCCTGCAGAGCCCCTATAGGCAATCTGTGTGTAACCACAGGAATCTTAGATTGTCAATTAAAATTGAATGGACACCTGATAACTAAGGATACGTCGTGGAAACAAAATTTCATATAATCACAGTCTTATGAATAAATTAATGAAACTGTGGCTAATCCAAATTCAATTTTCACTTGTCCGGTTCCATTCTTAATCCTTATGTCCAATCACCACCCGGACAACACAATCCCAGACAGAATACCACAATTAAAACAGTAAAAATGCAGCTGCAACGTCCTTAAGAATCTAGTTGGACAAAGTTAATTTAACACACACACACCCCCCATCCTAACACCCCCAAGCAACGTAACTTCCCTCCTCAGGTGTCCAGCCACACAGAACAACCTGGACCAGCTCAGAAATATACACAGCACAGGTTCCAATCGGATCTTTACTCCCAGCCAGTAACCACTGTGTTGGGACATAAGGGGAGCTAAACTTCCCCCAGCTACAGTGACAAAGACTGACAATATTCTTGTTACTCCTTTGGATTTCCACCCCCTCTTTTCCCAAATACTACGTTCTTAAACATAAGACTTTCCACGGCTTTTTGACTTCCCCGTAAAACACAAAGATGCCGGGCGCCTGGGTGGCTCAGTCGGTTAAGCGACTGCCTTCGGCTCAGGTCATGATCCTGGAGTCCCGGGATCGAGTCCCGCATCGGGCTCCCTGCTCGGCGGGGAGTCTGCTTCTCCCTCTGACCCTCCTCCCTCTCATGCTCTCTGTCTCTCATTCTCTCTGTCTCAAATAAATGAATAAAATCTTTAAAAAAAAAAAAAAACACAAAGATGCCTTGTTCGTTATGGTCTAGCTTTTTAAGACAAAGACAAAATACAAGGACCCAGTAAAAACCTGGCATGCTGGACTGGAACAAGAATTTATTTATCTCTCTGTAAAAAACCTCTAAGGCAGGCAAGGACAAGAGATGGCAGCCTTTTGTTTTTCAGAAGATGAGGGGAGGGAGGTTGAGAGGTCCAGCACAGGCTCAACTGAGTTCAAGAACCAGGCTCCCACATGCCCCCAACCCTGGGACCGCCCTGCTCCTGGTCACCTGCAGCACCCCGCGTCACTTCCTCTGCCAGCAAGTATAGCTGTTACACCGTGGACATGCATCGTGTCCTCCCCATGGTACCTCCCTGGGGCATCCTGGGGTGTCACCACACGAGAACTCCAGGGTACTTTTCATTTAATTCCTTCCCATGAAACTTCCAACAAAATAAACCTTCCCTTCCTGTGTGCTTGTCTACAATGGCCACCCCACCCACCCATTCAAACACCCCCAGATGATCTGGCCCTCACTTGTCCAGAGGAAGAACCACGAAGATGGGGCGATGCTCAGCACGGGCTTGCACAATTCCCCGGCAATTAAAAAACCAACAATTGACAATTAACTGCTTCCCATATTATTACCGTATCTTGATGTCTCTTGTTTTATTTCTAATCACTACTACTGGCCCTTAATTTGATGTTGCAAATACAAGACCTCAGAGAGATCCAGAGGCGAGAGAAAAAGGAAAACCACTTTTTCAACCACAGAGATCTCATCCTCAAAGGAGACTGAAGCAAGTAAAACCCTGTGTTGGTTTTTCCAACACTAAGTGAACTTCCAGTGTGATGAAGATTAATTTTTTTAGACCTATTCACTCCACTAAATTGGGAAAAGGTGGAGCCTAGGCTTTATTTTCCATTTTATCACCTGGCTTTCTTTTCTTATTTCAAGAAAAAAAAAAAATCCAGATTCATTCCCCTTTTAAAAGGTTTTGGTTTGGGGGGTTTAGGGCCCACTTTTACCCTATAGCTATTACCATGAGCCACCTGATGCTTAATTCCCATGTCATTAGCTTAAAAGACAATACTTTTGCTGCTGCTAGTACATCTAAGACTTTTTCTTAGGTCATCAGTCCCTGTTCAGGACACAGACAGCACCCCTACTCCCATGCAGCGAACCACTTCCATTTAATGGGAAATAAACTTCTGACCAGGACTCTGGGTTATGGCCTGCCCTTCCAGAAAGTGCCAAGGGGGCTCTAGCTTCCACAAGGAAAGCAAAACCAGCACTGACTGGTAGGTATGCCGGCTTAAACATTCCTCCCCAGATCTCGACACCAAACATTTGTACCATCCTAAAACAACAACTTAACAAAGGCATCCCCTTTTCACTTCCTGGCATTCTCCTTCAGAAATTCTGCTGCAACAAAACGCATGCCTTTAGACACAAGAACAATCTCTCCTACTGTCTCAATGTTCCATCCAAGGTCTATTTACCCTCATTAATTTTTCTTTTCTTTTCCTCAACCTGAAACCATCAGCTATGAGTCAGAGAATGATCATTAACTTTTACAGCTTCTATACACATCCACCTACTCACATTTGGGGAAAGAAGACTTGCAACATTGCCTGAGACCAAAATCCTCCATGAAAGAAAAGGAGGGAAAAAAAATGACTTCAAGAAAGTTATAGATGTAGGTCTATGGGGGGTGGCAGGGGGGCTACATTCATTGTTTTTCCACTCAGTGCTGCAATCTGGTGCAAAAAGAGAAAAGTTGAACTTGGTTATGGTGATAGGCATTTCTGGGCTGATTTCTTAAGAAAAACGAGATTTTCTTTAAACATCAAAACATAATTAAAGTTCTTAAACCGGGGTGGGGGGGAAGAGGGGAATGAAGTGAATCAAGTTTCCTACTCTTGTACGAAATACATTTCTAGCATATAAAAACACGTGGGCTAAGGTGCTGAGACATGTTCCTAACATAGCATTTTTCATTAAAAGTTGCTACATTAACACTCTTAAAATGATGCCCTATCATTACTCCACTTAGCAGTCACAGCTCTGCAACTCATAACGAATTAATTTGCATTAATGTGGGTTTCATGTGTCCTTCCCTGGGTTTGCCATTGTGATTCGGGGTTTAATAAAACTGACAAGACAGTAACGTTACGCCTTTTATTTCACTTTCCAAAACAAACCAACCCACCCGAAGACCCACACAAATCCTCCCGATTTTTTAA